ATGGGCATTTGAACAGGACTGGGACCTAGGACATTTAAGTGACCAAACTCTAGTAATTTAGTCAAATCATCGCGTCGTCAGTTTGATTAATCTTTGCATAAATTGAGATATTACGTTCCAAATAAATAATAAGTGTTCAGAATTAGGCACTGAAGCTTTGTCATTAACTACTCAAATAATTTTAAACCTTGTACTCAAACTTCGAAATCACTGTTTGTTATAATGACCCTTAAATTCAGGGCTTTTAATATCGATCGATAAACATCCTTATACAACTCTTGTTTGTGTAAATCCTCCGACCAGTGTATGCGTCCCCAGAGTACACGAAAATCGCCAGATGAGTAACACCCTGAATGCACGTATTGCACACATCTCACGTATACTCACACACGCTCACACGCACACGCATGCACATACAACTGACCTAGGATGCGACAAGGCGCCTCAGTGCCAATATCATTGCACATTTGCCTCGCAGCCCCAGTGTGTGCGCCTGTGTACGTGTGCGTGCGTATGAGCGAAGGTGAGTGCCTCCACCGATCCTACTAGCAGGAGCCAAGAAGGCGATCAAATTGGCACTGGTTTGTGACGATAAATTTCGGCGGAAAAAGTGTGCGCACGGGCATCTATGATTGGTTATCGCTCAGATCTTTATTTACTGCCTCACTACCATTGATTCTCACTCTATTCACCTGGCATTCTGTAAAAGGAGGAAGTTATGCAGGCATAGGGCTCGTCGGTCTCATCTGGAAATTTATACTGTACGGTGGGTCGAACACCCCTGCTTTCATGTAACCACTTAATTATCAGATTGTGGTGTAACACATTTATTACATGCTGCAGATTTAAGAAACCATGATTTTGCCTTTTTTCATTATTTTCTGAGGTGAAAATTTATTAAAAGCGGTTTGTCATAATATTCAAATGTCATTTCAAGCTAAACATGGCATGATATTTTTATGTTACTGCTCATTATGTTTACAAAATAAACAACCGAGCATTTAATGGCTTTCAACACGCAGTCCGTCTATCTGTCAATTAGTGGTGAAAAAAACCAGAATGAATAATTTTGTGAAATTCCGACAATTTGAAAGAAAACCTCTTTGTTTAGGTGGAGTTCCAGGCTAAAGGCTAAGGATACACTGATTATTGCCCTGCAAATCGTCTGAAGTCCGCTCCCGTAAATAGTTTTCCCCATAAATTCTATATGAATATAGCAATAATGGTGACCGCGACAACATATTTTGCGTTATTTGGTGCTTCCTTGTGCCTCCAAATAATTTTTGGCAGCATATCTAAAGCACAATGTTTGGGAAAACCATAAATACATTTCCTATTTGGTTGGATTTAAATGTTGCTGTGCCTTTCTACTAAAGTGTCTAAAGAAACATTAATTATCCATTTGTTCGGTGGCTGTGGCTTGTGACAAAGGACCTCCTTAAAGTGAGGCTGGATTCGGGCGTGGTAAGTACGTCCATATATGAAGATCACAGGCCATTATAGGCACGGTACTGTACAAAGAGGCTCAATCACTAGGTCACCGAAAAACCATGATCTCTGTATACATGATTGAACTAAATTAATTGTGACACAGCTCACACTCTTATGTGAAGTTGATCAGCTCCACTTGGTCAAAATATCGTTTAGGTTACTCATTGATCTATTTGTAGAAAATACTCCCATCTCTAATAATTTAGGTGTGTATAAAAAGCATTCCACGTTTTTATCCATTGGAAACTGAGAATCAGATGGCCCTGGTTGATAAACGGCTGCCTGAATTTCTCCTCTTTTCATAAGGATTTATTGATTTGGGTTTTGACATTTGATGTGTGGTACTAAGCTCAATGTTAAATAAAGAACTACTCTAGTAAAGTAGGTTTCTGGTCAGTCACTTAATGTAAATTGTAAGCTTTAATTGATTACCATGTGGATTTATGTTAAACTTACAGACTAACTTAGTCATTATCTCTTGGCCAATCCTATTTAAATCAATTCAAGTTAACTTCCTTTAGTGTTCTTAAAGTATACCAGACTGCAGTAGGTCCTGACAGATTAGCCAATAGAAGACCAAGAAGGTATTATGCAAATAACCAAAGGAAGGTGCTCGGATATTGCCGAAGACTCATGCAAATTAAGACCCGGTCCGTAATCACATCATCGTAAGGCTATATCGACCTTTCAATCTTGAGAATTTACGTGGTGGTTTTCACAGGTATAGTTCTAATTTTTGTATTGCCAATAGTGTGCTTTCTCAAACTATTCGTCAAATTCACACTGTCTTGTAGTAGGAATAGTAAGAGGGTGCTAGCAATTTAAAGAAACGATCCTTCAGAGTCGTTAAGAAGCTATTCTGGAAGTTCCATTTACAACTTCGTTGCCATACTTGAGAACCTTGAACTATGTTGGTAGAACCTCTCTAATGTAGGTCATTATAAAGTCCGTGCTAGTTCGAGCTCGGAACATCTTGGCTGGCACTGTTCACATTATACCATCATTCTAAATATACACTTACAAACCTAAACGGTTTTCTTCGGTACAAGAATACACGGGAGCACGAAACTATTCATTCTGCATTCAAAATTAAATTTCGAAATTTATTAATCGTGAGTGTCGTTTAAATGGAATGAAAACGCAACAATTACATTCTTAAAAAATTGCTACTGGGTGTAATATTTGACATCAGAATTTACTCGGTCTGTGTTTCATGGCAATATGATGTCAGAATATTTTACCACATATTTTACATGTCAGTTTAATTTTACCAGTCAGTTTTTTTTAACGTATCTAGGGTGATCTAAATGACTTGAAAATTCCTTGTCTTTGTGAACAGGGGCTCGACACTGGTGTCGGTTATAGTTTTTGCTACAGTAGTAATATTCTAATTTAGCAGAAGACAATAGGTCTCTTGAACTGTCTAACAAACCACCCAATGACGAATGAATAGCCAAAGTTGCATCGTCCTTTTGGTTAAACGTACTGTAACGAAGTGTTTGGTGGATCCTGGAATATTATGGTAGACAGATTGATTTTAAAAGCAAAATTTTACTCTTGTCTGCATTCACACAAATGCTTAGTGTCTGCAGATCTCCTAAGCTTTTGTTCAGACAAACGTTTCCCTGCTACTTCATATTCATAAGTCCCAAAGCCTTAAAAAAGAAGGTAGGCTGGATACTTATCGTGAAAAATGTGATTTGCAAAAAGTACATGTGCTTCTGACAAAACCGCGAATCAGATTGTCGTTACAGCATTTCGTGAAATAAACTTTTACATCGATATTTTATGTACTCACAACTTCGAATACCAGGCTTATTTTAAATTATCAAGACCGCCTCAGAAAACCTCAGGCCAGCCAAAAGTGCACTTTTTAAGCTCTAATTCAACCGGTGAATATTCAGTAGAGAAGCTAAATTATAATCTGCTGATTTGGCAGTGTCAATTATCTTAGATAGCATGGCACAAAGTTTCAAACCAAATGTTGAGAATTTCTAGCAGTCTTCGTTTTCTTGTGCATAAGAAGCTATCTTTAAAATTCAGCCAGTTGTCGTTCAGGCTCTGTGTGCGTATTGATTGGTAAAACGCAATAGGGCTATCACACACGTCATTAAAAAACCACGCATTTTGATACACTGTCATACTGTAGGTGGTTCGTTGACAAATCCCAAACTTAAAAAATGTCAAAAATGCTTAAAACAGAACTTTAATAGACATGGACCTTGATTCCAATGCAAATTCCATGTTGCAAATATTCATTTCGTTCTTCCTGACGAATTGCTGTTGGTGCTATTTGGATTCAACTGCAAAACTATGACTCAATGTTAAACGGAAGTGTATATTTCACTGGCTATTTTGAAATTCTAGAATTCATACATTCTGTTTAATTAAATGTAATCACAGAACACCTACTTCTGTGCCCACAACGTCAAGCGGTATTCAGAGTGCATATGAGCTTTTCCTTAAAGGAAATACTAGATTCTAGAGCATTCCTTGGTGCTCTGTCTTCATTTAAAATGTCTTTGTACAGTCTTGATTTTTAGATGGTAATAATTTCCTGTTTTGTTTTAATATGGTTTACCGAATAGGCGTGAGTTTATCAACCGACCTACGGACAAAAGAAAATTGAAAATGACTATACTTTAATGGTGAAAATTTTTGACAACGTACCGCAAACTTGAACCTATGGAATGATGATCATAATATTAAGGTTGTCAAGTAGCTTGAATGTTTCGGAGTGATATTTAATATCATTTGCGTTAAAAATTAAACAGTATATGGCTAAACTTTTGGGTTTGGATGTTGAAAGTCATCAATAATAAGCGCAGGAAATTAATAATGTTCTATTATTTATGTAAAGACTTTTTGTAAGTTATATAGAAAATGCATAGGTTTTTAACTGATTTTTTTCAGGTTACTTTACAGCTCTCACTAATGCACTATGTGTATTTTTGCAGATACAAGGTACCCCTTTCCTAATAACTGCTCTGGTTTGAGAATCAAACACATCAATGGCACAAATGACAAAAAAGTATGTTAAAATTTCCCCACTTATTATATCCTTTCTAAATCTTTTGACATCTTTGTAGGCAAAATAATCCGACTAAGGTACCTCACCCCAAAACTTTCCTTCGCATTCTAGTAGGTTTAGTAAAAGTAAAACTAAGGGCGATCGTAAAAGCCCAGTACATTTCCCTCCATTTTGTGACCCCCACTATTCGGATGCATATAATCTAACCGGATGAATTGCTATACGACGGTAATGGTGGGAATGCTGGTATATTCTAGTGGGGAATAATAGTCTGAAAATAGATTAAGACTACAAAGATCTTGTTGGGTAAATATATTGTCAGTTTCTGCCATAAATAGATTGACATTTGATTAAATATGAAGTTAAATTAACTTTATGTACAGATTAAAAATGAATTGAGTTTTTGGTTTGGGGCCTTAATTTTATCCTTGACATGTGCACTATGAAAATCCATTTCAAATAATTTTAGACCTTTTGCATGCATGCTATTTTATGCTGGTAAATTTGTGCGTAGTTAAATCCTGAAATTGCAATGAACGTTTAATGAATCTGTTTTCAATGCAAATCTGTAACCAATGAACTGACACAGACTGAGGTAGTTATAGAATTAATAATTTAATTGTTTTAGATGAAAGTAATGGAACTGCCATTGTGGCTTATTATTTCCCTTGTAGCACGTCTGATAGTGAAGACTGGTCAAGAGGCCAAGGTTCGTTCTTCGTCACGTCAAAGTCCACGATTACTAATCGTCGGACAGATGTTCGTTCGAAAACCTACCAGGGCGGTGGCATTGGTAGTGACTCAGATACTAAACCTGTTAACCGAGCCCCTTATCCAGTCTATCGCAATGAGGATGATGTGCCATCCCAAGATTCAAGAAACGCCACCGCAATCCACGTTGATGTCCGTCCTTCATACCCCGCCGTCGACGTTCCTATTCAACGTATCGCCACAAATGGGCGTCATTGGTCCGTTTCAGGTGAACAAAGAAATTTAGTTTATCCCAATGATACTTTAATCGTGAGTCCCCCTGCAGCCCGCAGCAGCGCCCGGCATCAACACCGAACAATCCGACAAGGAAGCGAGACTCGCGTGGTCACTAAAATGACAATTCCTCAGCTAGAATCTCCCAGTCTGGGTAGACCGAGAAACCAAAGGAGCTACTCCACTGATCTTATCCGAGAGAATGCTTCTAGTTCTCAGAAACGTAAGCATTATGAACAGTCTACCCTGAATGACTCATTCCGCCAAATGAATCTCCAGGAGCCGACATCCCGTTCTCAGACATCAGGGCGTCGCAGGAAGGAGAGCCACCATCATCATTATCGGTGCTGTAATCGCTCGCATTCTAGAATAAGGAGTGGTTCGCGTTCACGAGCACGGGATTTGTACGGAACCGTTCGAGGAATTCCAGTGCCCTATGGAGTGCCAACTCCAACGTTTGCACTTTATCCTGATTGGTCTGGAAACTTCGCTCCACTGTCACCTGCTGCCTACTACCCAGACGAGTACGCTACTCCTATACATGGGGTGCCCTATCTTGCATCGCCAGCCATCCCAATTCACTATAGCCTCCCTCGTCGATATCCTCCATCTTCAGCGTTTGGACTAAGATCGGGTATTCCGATGAGTGGAATCCCCACAATGACGCCAGGAACGGCAAACAGATTTACTCCTGCCTATCCGAGAAGTGCAAGGGGTGCGGGACAATACCACTGCATATGCTGTCCGAATGGGGCTCATCAGGGTACCGTGGATAGAAATTCGCGTGTATTCAACTTCGAAAGTGACCAATGGGAGAGTGATGGATTACCTCCATTGAACCAGACACCATATGGAAGGAGCACCCTTACGAAGCAGTCACGGTCTAAACAGCAGTATATCGAGACACAACGAATGCAGACCCACGGGCCTTCGGCGACGCTAGAGAGTGGCAGAAAATCCCGCCAAACACCAACTGAGGTTGAGATCCCTATTCAAAAGGATGTGCCCGGAGGCCTACCTTATGGGCTAGTATCACCAGGCGGTACGCTAAATGAAACCAGTTACATGTCGCAAAAGTTTCAAAACACTTGGAACGCGAACTTATCACCTAAGGGCCTTGGTGTGATGCCACAAGTCCATGGTGAGGTCACTCGTGACGATGGGTTCCCAGCAGACTACGTTGACCTGATTGATGTTGGAATCGAATATGCTAACGGAGTGGACGAAGGTGAGGACGGAGAAACATTGCCACCTCCCGACAAGAAGGTAGTGATTCAACTTGCTGAAGCTGCACTCGCCACAGCATCGGGCCCGACTCAGGTGGCAGCTACCTTAAAAAAGTCAATGGACGAGAATTTTGGACCGGTTTGGCATGTGATTGCGGGCACAGGTGCATACGGAAGCAACATCGCAAGCCTTGGCGGTCAGCTTCTTCATTTTAAGGCCTTTGGATGGGCTTTCCTCATCTGGAAGACGTCTGACCAACAACCGGAGTAAATCTGTCGCACACCTATATTTCTTGCTATAAATGTAGGAAAAACAGCGTTAATCTTTCGAATTTTGCAAGCTCGTACTTCGTTCCTATTATTTTGGTTATGGTTGCCTAAATGTATTGCACATTTTGCGCACTTGTACTGATCACGAAACGCTTTCACATTCACACAAGCCACTATACACTTTGTCACAGACATTTGGTTCCATGAATGTGTTCAGAATGCCAACACATTTAGTAACGGCGATATCAGGAATCACCAATTTTCTTTCTACCACTTTCTTATCTGTGGATCTCTTCTTCTTTTCTTGGTAATGATTTCTATTAAAATTGATACTGGACTTAAATTTATTAGTGGATGGAGTCCTTAGAAATAAAGACAATAAATTTTTTTGTAGACCCGACCAAAATGTAATAATTCTTAATTCAATAGAAGATATATTAGGCCTTTCAAAAGGCAATGAGTTTTTCAAGTGAATTTGCAGTTCTTAGCCACCATCACCCTACTTATGTTTAGAAATATAAAAACCATGATGCTTAGTACTAATGAGCTGCCAAGAAAACACTTTTCTTGCATTCACATGTTAACAGAACAGCTAGATAAGATAATTCAGAATAACTAATCAATTTTGACTGCAGTTTAAACGGTGACTTCCCACTGTTCAGCTAGGCTTATGCTGTACTCCAAGCACAATGATCAGATTTAAGACATTTTGTATTGTGAATTTCATAATCGCCTTTTCATTGGAAATTCAAAGTGATGCCAAAATCAGAATTCGTGCTTTTAGTTAGGAAAAATTTGGTTTTTAAGTGATTTTAGTGTTTATGAAAGTGCACATGAAACTCAAATTTGATTTGTTCAGCCAACAGTCACCTCCTCTTAACAAAATTCTTCGTGGATGAAGTTAATTGCTGAATTTCAAGTAGTTTTTAATATTGACTCAATTTAAAATTTTCTTTTAATGCCCATCACAACCACTATCAATGAAACCGCTCTATATCACACCAATTCCCTTACAATGAGTGTCAATGCATGCAGTTTAAATAAACTGCCTATTCAGCATAATGAGAAACGAAGTACCTAGAGAAGAAAAGTGGACCAAAGACAGAGGAATTTCAACGGCACATTGAGCCAGCAAGACCGTTGTCGTGTGCATCGTATTTGTTTGCCCGTATATGGCTTGTGGACAGGGTGACACAGATCTGAATAAGTTGCGGAAAACACTCATTCCCTAATCATGGAATCTGATTGTTTAAAGCTCTCAGCATAAAAAAAGACAATTGCTATATCTAAATACAATAGTCCTGCCTGCACAATTTTGGTAAGGCCTGCCAAGTTCATATCCTTGAGCCGTTTCTTCCCAATAAAAGATTCATATAGCAAAAATCGCTTTATTATTTATTATTATGTTAAATAGATTATCTATTCTCCACAACTGGCAAATGCCAAATGCAGCAAGTCGACCTCACGTGCACCTACAGATAAAACATTAGCGCACGTCGAAGAGGAGTTTGGGGTCAAAAAACAGCAGAACGGAAAATCGAGGAAGAAGGTAGTCATGGTAATGCAACGCTGTTAAAATCGGGACCAACTAAAAGACGCTTTCAGCCCACTTGAGGGGGATTTCATGTTTGCGCAGTGGAGTTGTGGGAATTTAAATGTACACACTTTATTCTCGATATTGCTGGGTTTCGGAAGACGGTGGGGGTGATGGAAGAGGCAACTGTTCTTGTTTTTCTGCTTGCATAATCTGTGGCGGGGGCTTAAAGCTCTGATCAGCGTTTGCCCGGAGGGTATTGTCATTGGGGTTACCGTCCTCTGCGGTGTAACTAGCGTTACTTGAGGGGGGCTGAGGGTTTATCGCAGAACGGCGGGCTGTGGTTGGGGTAGATGAAGTAACAAAAGTGGGGACGTTGAGTGCTGAGGTATTACTTGCAGCTTCGCTCTGGGGGTAAGGATTGAATTTAGGTTCTTCTCCAGTTCTTGGGTTTTGAATGGGTTGAAAGCCTCGAATCCACGTGCCGTCGAGAGGAGAGGTGGAGAGGCATGTCATCTCGGAAGGCGGAGTGCGACCACCACGAGGATCAATAACTTGGGGGTAGTTAGGAGGAACAGCCAGCATTGGAATAAGGAACTCATTGCCTGAGTTTGACAGGGATCCCTTGCGAGCTCCTTGAAGAACTTTTTTTCTCTGAACCTTCAAAAAAAATTACCTGCTCATTTACAAGAGCACTAAGAATATTCAAAAATAAAATAAATGATAAAGGAAGTTTTTAATAATGTATGTTCAATTTCAAGTCGTTTGTGCCACTGTGCGAGTAACATGCGTCAAGTTCATAACGCAAGGAATATGGGCAGGTTTCTGAATCTCAAAATTACTGTTAGGCCTCGTTCTCGCAAAAGTGATTTAAAGCAAATAATGAGCATCACAAAACAGTACACACAAACAGTGTCGGCACCTCTCCAGGTCTACGAAAGTTTGTTTGTGCATTCATATTGTTCTGGCACGAGTTTTATTAAAGACGGCACAGGAATGCTATTTGTTACTTTTGTTTAAAGTGATCTTACGTTCCATAATTCGGCACCAATCCAACGTCTCATGTGCCGCCTCTTAATGACCTGCAACACATACATGCTACCCTTTTGCATAACCTAACTACGCAAAAACCCCTTCATACCTAGCCAGTGAATAAAAAGGGCGTGCCCTTTTCATCTGAGGACCACTCTATTCCCGAGTATCTTCTGATTCCTTTAACTCCGAGCATGTTTTCTGTAATCCCGATTTTCAGCGCAATAATTAGTAACCAAATAGAACTACTGTTAAACCGAATGCAAGCATATGACATTTTTAAATTGCCACTGGAACGCAAGAGACAAACTGAAAAGAACTTCCCTTTTCATTTTAAATGGCGTACGTTGCGATAGTCTCATCATTAAATTATGCAATTTCTAAAGGTTCGATTTGCAAAAAAACGGTAATTACCGCTTATTCCATTAAATTTACAGAAAATAAACTACTTGACGAAGTCTATTGCGAGCGGATTTGTGTTCACGTGAGGATGTATCGGTATCAACGTCACTTGGTCAGGCACACTTTCCTCATGCTGGCCCATCAACGATTGGCACATTATCGATCACAATTGCTTTGCTAGCATTGTTTACAATTATTACGCTAAAGGGCTGTTCGCACATGCCTCTCCATGACTGCTGCCAAATATTGCATAAACGAATCTTTTTCAGTGAGTTGTACGCTTTTTATTAACACAGATTTCACATACCACGGTAAAGCACCGTTTTTTTGCGAGGGTTAGTGGTTATGCATGCCAATTTTGCCATGTATTTAACAGTGTGCTTACATATTTATCGTGTGCCTGTAAATCGAATGCAAAAATCCCCTTGAAACCAACTTTGGGACGTAAGTTGAAGGCTGATAAGTCTAGGACTTTTTTTAGCAATGTTTCATGTACCTGGCATTAGTAAACTTGACTTCGAGGTGCCTATAAGGTGCTGTTAGAAAAACGTAAGACGAAATTGGTCATATTGTTATCTGATTCTAGGTTTATGATTAATTAGTAGCAACTTTCGATCTTGAAGAGCTACAACACCGACTCCGCAGGTTCATAGATCACATTTGAATGACTTGTATATCCACACTAATCGTGCAACAACAGAATTCAAAGTACATTTTCGATCGACAATAATTTATTAGGCTAGGATGAAGGCAACCTTAATGTCTGCTAAAAAATTTAGTTTTGCACCAATCTGTTAAGGCACTGGAAGCCAAAAGGCGTTTAGTAAAACCCAACCTGCACACAAGATAGCCTGAAATCATCGATTTCAAAAATAGTGCTTTTTCAAAATAAAATTCCCAAAAATAGCATACACTGATTTGATGTAACTTTTAGCAGGTTTATTATTCGGTTTGAGTCTCCGGTTTGTTGAATCACTATATACTGCCCTCCTGTAAAGATTCCCTGTATTGTTATGATTAAAGAGCAGAACTAAGAGGTATAAACGAACCACGCTGCTTAAGATAAGAATCACACCTCACCTTTGTGGTAGCGTCCTGACTGTTAAGTCTGCTATTAGGAGTTCTTGGAAAGAAGGAGCTGGAAGAAATACTCTCTCCATCCTCGCTGCTCGTTCCTTGTCCTCCCCCACCAACACCACCGCCACCACCACTGAATCGGGAAACATGGGGAACCGTGGTGGGGCCTTGACTATTGAGATCTGGTGTGGCTCCAGTTGCCTCCAAAACGGCTGCTGCTGCCGCTGCTGCTAAAGCACTTGCAGCCTCATTCAGCCGCATTGTTGCCTGTGCCGTCAAAAGAGGGGAATTCCAGCCGTAACCCATTTGGGAAGGCATTCGGGGGCGCAGAATTTGCTGACTGAGAACCTGCTGGGGTGTCAGGTGACCCTGATAGGTCGGTGTGACTGTTCGTGTGTTTGGGGACTTTCTCATCCGTGCTGCGCCATTGGAGGTAGAAGCTGGAAACCCACAAAAAGCAACGTAATATTTTCTTATACCACTAAAGTGGGAAACAGGATTACTTGTGCCACCCTCTTCACGTGTGCTTTAATAGTTTTTCATTCGCTCCAGGCTACTATTATTTAAACAAGTTGAATTTTGACAGAACTTAGGCAAGATATATCTTCTGGAGGTGCTAGTGTAAGGACAGTTAGATTTATTTAAAATTGAAAGCACATGCCACATTTATTAGATTAGCGGATTACTGCTCTCCATTATTGCAGCATTGTCATGTTTAGCAAAAGCGAACTGTGGAAGGTGCATATTTAATAGTTCATATTTTCTCAAAGCTCAAATTATCCTTTTTCATGTATTCATAATAAATAGTGCACAATAAACAGACTTTTTAAAATTTGAGCAGTCGCCACGCGATCATTTGACGCTGTGAATAAGCTTGAAATAACGCTTGTACATAATAACGAAACTCCTGCTTCTTTCAAATATACTCCTACGTTAATTAAAAATGCGAATTCACAGCACTTCCAAAACTTAGTTATGGCGACTGGACATGGATGTCGATGCTTTCGTGATTGCGATTTTTTTCATTATTTAAACTGTGAATTATAAATGGAGAGAATTAGATCGATTAAATGCTAAATTTCGGGGTCGAACAAATGTTTGTAGGTAGTGATACCTGGATATCCACCCAGTCCGTCTAACGCGGAAATGCTCCCTCCAATCATTGAGACCGACTCGCCGCACTGCGATCCAGGTCGGTAACTACCTGGACCGCCGACGGGTTGGTTCACAGCATCCATACTGCCACTGGCGATGGACTCGCTCACGGCTATTGAAGCGGCTTTGGCTGCTGCAATGTAGACTTCTGAGAGAATTCGTTGCGTCAGAGCTGACACATGGCTGGTATTACTAGGGCTGCTTCGCATTTCATTATTCTGCATTGGATGATAAGTGTTCTCTAGAAGAGGATGGGCGGAGCTTGCCATGTGGCCTGTAGATTGAGGAGCGTAGAATCCCTTGGTCGACTGGCACGAACTACCTACAAGGAACAGAATTTGATATTTACGCCATGCACTTTTCATTATTATTAAAACAATGAAAGCTTTCGACTACAAGTTAGTCAGAACTGTTACAGTGAATTATGTTTTTCTTATTTTCTCAATACTTTAATTTGGGGTAAGTCAACATCGAATAGTCAATATTAGTTCTCAATTTCAACTGTACACTGAACAACTAAGTGGTACACTTAAGCTCTCTCATGCGCGTTCGTAAATAAATTGACACGAGCGGTTGTATTTTTCAAATAAGTAATGAGTTTCTTGAAATGACTTCGTTGAATTGATGGAATCAATGGCATACCTTTAGCTCAGAGAATTTTCCGGCAACCCGTACTTAGACGTTCCCATAGGGATTTTATCAAGCTTTGTCTTATTGTATCATTGACGCTAATTTAACAATGAAAACCTTCTTTTAAGCATCTCTCACAATACGCAAGTAAATAATATTGGCAACATAGTTTAGAAGTGCATGACATATCCATGGAGAGCATCAGAAAGCGAATTCGGTAAACACGTATTACTAGCCTCTCTTAGACCCAGTCAGTATTTATAAAACAATCTCATTTTTATGTTCTAGATCTACAAGAACCTCTAACAGTGAAACACAGGTGGAAAGTGACGTTTTCGTTCAATGAAAGTAATTATCAAAGCCGGTCGCTTTAACGTGGAACCTACGGAGACCGCGCACCTGGCGTTCGTCGGTTTTCATTGTCCTCGTTGATGGAACTGCTAACAGAAAGTGTTGGTATAGGCCCGGTGAGCGGGGACCCTGTTCCTAAACAGCATTTAGCATTCCTTTATTAGTAATGTACAGAAACTCGCATTTTGCCCTCATTACCGTACAAAACTGCCCACAATCGAAGCTAAGCGGACACACAAACAAATTGCGGCCCAATTGGGCTTGAAGTCACTGAGATTACGTGGTAAGACAGGAACAGCCAACAATGCTTTTAGGCAAGCAGATTTGGCACCTTCATAAGTAAAGCCATACGTCGTATGCATGCACTCGTTCTTCACAAAGCAAATGTACAAATTTTTAGGTGTAAGAAAGCGAAAACTTGGCGGATACCAACACAACGAAAATACTTTACAAGGTACAGCCTCTGTCATTGCGGTTTTGTAATGCAGAGGAATTACTCGAGGCAGAAAAGTTAGAAAAAAGTGATTGAGAGATCAGGTTATTGCGAAGCAAAAAAACCGCAGAAATAATGGTGGCAAATAAATTTCTACTTCTTAAATGATGACCTTTTGGGCAGTTTATTTCATGGACTGTGAATCAATTTATCCAAAGGCAGACTCGGACAAGCATCGGGTTTCGGGTGAGCATAAAGTTGGATTAAAAAACACTCAAGAACACCCGAAAGGTCGCTCACGTATGTTTCAAAACTTACTAACAGACTCGTGATTATGCAGTTATTATACCTAACCTGTACATGAGGAATTTCGTGAGTGCTGCGGTTAAATGACATTGTGTACTTTCCGAAGAAACAAATCTCATTTACTGTGACAAAATTATTCTTGAAGTTCGAGGATTGCAACCGCTTATTTTATGCTCAAGTCTTCAGCTCTCTAAGTCCCATGTCGTTTGCTCTTCAGACCACATTTCTGGGTTGTGTGATTGCAAGAACTTGCGTCAAAACACTAGTCACCCTCCCCGATGATTTAATTAGGATAATGATGTAGTGAACCGAATCATCTACTCGGTCACCGCATCCTCCGACACATCTCCCTTTAAGCGGGGCACTCGACAGTCGTGCGGGGCCGTCCCGGCTTCACTCATCCGGCCAGTTATTTGTACTATAACGACGCAAACAAAACTATATTGGTAAACAGCAACATTAGACGCACACGACTGTGATTACGCGCACACAACTGGGTTAAGCTACCTACCCTCTCCGATCGCATTAGTCATCTCGAATATCTGTGTAGCGTAATCAGGCAACAGCGTCGGTGTGAGTTTGGTTTGTCAGTGATGTTTGGTGTGCATAACTATGGAAGTGTAAAAAGTTGGCATGCGCATTTTGTTGCCACCTCTTTTATACATCTCTAGTGTGTCGTTCTGCGGCCGATCTGATGTTTACGACGAGAGACGCAGGTCTGAATGAGGTGTTAGACAACTGCTAGTTAGGGCAAAGCAGGACTATTCTGCTGGGTTATGATGAGAGGTTTCAGCAAAGCTCTGCGTCTGCATGCTCACCTAAAGACTGCCGGGCATAGGCGGGATGCAACAAACCTATATCAGCGCTGATCGAACCCGCCCCAGACGGAGGAGATCCATACGACTTGCTCATATCAAGGGTTTGATATGTTCGAGTCCCGTGGAGCAAGCTAAAATTTAAAAAAAGACCACTCATATTGTCTGGTTGCTGAATAAGATTTGCGAATGTTATTTTAGCTACATTGGCAATCGACTTTGGCAAATAGCATTCAAGAATTGTCGTGCCAGGAAGTGAACGAACGCGGAAATAAGTTAAATCATCGAGCTACGATGCCAAAGCACTAGTAGTACTTGCAGTGCACTTACATGTAGCTTGCTTAATTCTGGTGCTAGTCGCCTTCATTAGTAACTCAGCCAGTTGAGACGATAAATTCAGAATTGGCTTCTGCCACCAATAACTACATTGAACATTTGGGTGAAGTCAATGGCTTTTTGCCTTCTAATTTATTATATTAAAACCTCGAACAGAAATACTAAGGACCTGAGATTTCCGACACAGATTAACCTTTTGTAAATATGACTAGTTCTATGTCAGGGTGCATTTTGACCAACGATAGCTGTTTTATCCCAAATTTGAGCAAAATATCTTGAGCAAATGATATTAAAAAAAAAACAAATAGAATTTAATCCTAAGCAATGAATTTGGCCAACATTTATATACAGAACTTTAGGCATAGAAAGTGGAAGCCGAAATTCCACTAGGTAGGTTTCCCATTTAAAAGGCCATAATGTCGTTAGAATATGCAAGTATTCGGCGGAATTTAATCAAAACTCACAACCCAGGAAATCGAAAAATCTCGAACTACTTGTTAAAAGTGTGGGGAGTTCGGACCCGAATTAACTATCATACTTACCCATTACTAGTCGCTGGGGCAAGTTTTTTCATGTCTAAATGAAATAAAAAAAGTAAATTTAAAAGTACTTCTAGCAATTTACTTAATCCTCGTCTACACCGAGTCAACGTTTTGGTAATAGGTTTTCGGAACGTTTTCCTGCACGTCTAAAAGCCCTACCTTGTGTAAAGAACATGCAGGACAGGAATTGTTTGGCTTGCTAGTCTAAACAGTTCTAAACATTTATCCTAAATGCTGGTTCCCTATTCCTTCCGACTGCTCAAAATCAGATTTAAAGTAGCCGCGACACTACTACCCCTGGCACGCTACTCTTAGGTAGGGTAAGATGCCGAAAGAAGCTGGTTTCAAAAAGTCACTAAAAGAATATACTCACTTCTCCTCTTTAGGCAGGAACAGAAGTAGTAGATAAGAAAAGCAATAAGGCAAACCACAAGTAATGTGATAAGAATTCCGATGATCAATTGCACGAGTAGCTTAGATGTCGCTGATGTCTGAGGAGGGTCATCTGAAACAGAAATTGCAAAATAAAACTAAACTTGATCCTTGACGTAACAAAATCTCAGTCAAACAATCAACTTCGATCGAAAGTTCCACACAAACGCCGATTGTTAGTAAATATCAGTAAAACGTAATTAACACCACTTTGTTGCAAAAGTAAACACATAAGAAAGTGGCATGTAAACAGTACTTTGTGCCACCTTAGATGCCTTGTCAGTCCCCTTCCACTATATGCAACACCCTATTCTAAATGTGCTGTGATACAGAGCTTATTGCAGCCATGGCAAAATCAAATCATTTCACTCAGGGCTGCAAATGTGTGACAGGAACCAGTCTCATACATGTGCAAACACGCGCGTGTGCTCAAGGCTTGCCTAGTTTTTGAGTTGATCGATCCAAATAACCTCGCATACTCATGTTAAAATGATTAAATACAAAAATACCAGTAGGTCTAAGTTTAGACCCAAACAAGGAATGTATTACAATTAGGCTAGCAGTGAGAGTTCAATTATATAACAAATTCGTGTACGGCCGCCCATCTCTAAATCCTCTAGCCGTTGCACAATCTATAATCTCAAGAAACTCCATCAAATGTCGATCGAAAGGGCTTTTTAACTTACGCAAACAGTAGAAGTGGATGCTGGGCTTCGAAAGGGCTTTTAACTAATTGAATTAGGACTTACGTACCTTCTTATGTGTTTAAATACGCGTTATAAAGTAGCTAAATGAAAGAAAATACGAAATCTATTTATTTGAAACAGGAAGTAGAGGTCAGTATCCCGATTCCTAAAGACATCAAAAGATCTCGAGACTTCTAGGCCATACACTGTGGTTTCAACTTAGACAAATTGCTTTGTTCCGTAATTTTTTTTTCAATTTGAAGGATGTGACCTTACCTTTGTTCCACCTGATTGGTCGTGTAATCTGTCTGAGCTGCTTATCTTGGTAAACAAGAAACTGAAAAGTATAGTCAGCAATGGGTTTATCCAGTTCAACCTGTAGGAAGCCCAGCTCCGCAAAAGTCACTTCATAGTCCCCACACTCGTCGTTATTCGACGCGGCGGCCAATACGTCGACAGACGAGGGTGCCGGGCCTCCACTGCTATCCTTAACAGGACGGAGAAAGACCAACTCCTCAGAAGGTCGCACTGTTCTTCCTGATCCCGAGGTGAGGTGAACGGGGAGGCAGATACGTAAGACGATACGAGAGTAAAACTGACTGTTCGGAGGCTCAAACTCTACACGAACTTTTCGACCCTCGCTTGTAATACGAATGCTGTCAGGATTTATACCCTTCGAGTCTAGAAGAGAAAGAACCGATTGACCTCGTGGCCCTTCTTAACAAGGTCACAACATGCATTTAAGACGAAAAGATTGGTTGATCTGAAGGTGTCTAATGAAAAACTCTTGAGTACATACGTAAGGTTAAGCTGATGACATTACAAGGTACCTGGTCAAACTACTGTTGTGTCCGATCAAAAAGCTGACAACGAGTGCACTGCAACGCATATCGTTACAGTTCAGGTAAATGGATTCAAATTTACTAGCTATCAGGTTCCTTGAAAATGTCTTAAATTGGCTCCCTGTCAGACAATTTGTAAATGTCATTTAAGAAATGAGATAACAAATGTGTCCGTTAGCGTGAAGATGTCCAAAAACTCAAAAGGATTTTTCATGAATCTAAAAATTGGATTGGTGCCTGCGCACACCACACTTTCTGGTAAAGAGGAGGAAGCATTACAAATTCTTAATGGTAGTAAGACTTCGTAAATCGCAGTCTCGTTTACAAATTGCTTCATCTGAAAGTATGCGCATAACAGATTTCGATGTGACCATCAATCAAAGACACGTGCACTTGCGCTTGTTGTTTTGCTATCATATCTAAGGCGGCTTCAAGACATACATCAGTTGTCAAAGGAACCTTGCCACTGCCTTCAATCGAACTTCACAGTTTTTAAAAGGCGTTAATGTTGTACGAATTGACTCTGGTGATTGAATTTCAACCAAAAAGTAAGTGTTTGACTTGATCACAATAGGAGTCTTCATAGTTGCAAAGAGAACGTTAACAATCTGAATTGTCAATCGAAGTAAGGTAAAGCACAATTGTTTGTTTTAAGAGACCTGAATCGAAAAGGAGGCTGTTTCAATTTTTTAAATTCTGGAGAGTCGAATGGTACTTTGGCAGGTGTCTATGAAAAAAAGTTCCACATAACTGGAGCAATAAGACTTACATTGGGTAGAATACTTTTACACACTTCATTTACCGTAAATTCACCACGTTGGAAAATTATATCGTGAATTCTGAAGTCGTGTGTATGGAAACAATTGTGGATATGAGTGACCTCTCTACTGTTGGTTTAGTAGTAGATAGAATTTTTATGTACCACTCACGTGTTTGAGGCTTCAGCTCAAAGTAGAATTCTCGAGTTCCAGATTTATGGTTGACCTGGCACATGTAAATCCCGAAGTCAGACTCCAGTACCTCCCTAAATGCCAGAGTGAAGGTGAGCCTATTATCACCAGATTTGCTGGATGTCTGCTTCACGCGGTTGACCCAGGGAACGGTGGATGTTGAGATTGCTTTCAAAGGGGATATGGATCGTCGGCTTAGAAAATGGGATGAAGCTTGAGCAGAGGATTGGGAAAGGATCTTGCCCCGGGCTTTACTAGCCAAGGCTGAATCATCACCGATCCAGAACCACATGTACTCAGCCCTTGCTGGCCGCGCCTCAACGGTGAGCACAAATTCGGCCTTGAGACCCGGTTGAGCATATTGGATGAATTTTGTGCTCGCATGTATTTTCGGCGCATCTGTGAAAAACGAAATGTAGTCACAGTCAGCGAAAACTATGCATAAGGTGCGAGGTATAGCAAATAGTGTTTACGTTCAGTAATAATCACATTTGGTTATTATTCACTCAAATTTATACGATCCCATCGGACCGACTGGTTGAGTTTTGACTTGAAGTTAATGTTGGGGATCGAGCATTCCTCAAGATTGCTTATCGCCGGTTTTCGTAATTATTCACATTAATTCCCTAACATCGGCATTATTGCGCTTTTTATCAGGTCAAGGTCAACATTGACTTGAATTAGTGTTCACTTTTTGACAACTGACTCGCACTTTGACTGAGGCGCTTAAAGCTCTCTACACGAGCTCTGGTTTTGTCTTGTATTAGCGTGGGACGGTCGGTCCTAGCGTCAACAAGGGATCTGGTACCGTTATCTGAGTAGATTTTTCCTGGTTACGGGCAAATGTAACAAATAACTTACAATTAATAAGAAGCAAACGTAGGCTTCGAGCAATACCACCTCCACTGGAAACTTGACATCCATACCATCCAGCCTGTTCTAAGGAGATTCCATCAAGCATTAAATGACGCCCCGTGTGATTTGGAATCTGAGTCATGTGACTAGCAAACATCTCGGCCAACTGAGTGGTGTTTAATGTGGAGAGAAGGGATTTAGCAACAACTGAAGATAGCTCCTCCTTTGAAGAAGACGAAGAAGGATTTTGGGTAACAGTTTCAGGCAATTGGAGATCCTTGGTGTGCCACCAAGAAAACGAGAAGCCCTTGTCGGGCACCCCTCCATGGGAAAGGCACGACAGCGTCACCGATTGACCCTCCGTTGGATCGTTGGGAAGGCTCACTATTTCTACACTTGGAGGATCTGCAAAGATATTTAATGTAAAGTGATTGAATAATAATGCATGTAGAAGGACCAAACAGGTGCCAATAAACTGGCATGTACGAAAACAATTTAATCCCAGTCAAAATTACCAGGCACTAATTGGAGTTGCGAGACGGTGTAAATGTAGTGATTGGACGATTTACTGACTATTACATACATTTAAGCTAAAAAAACTCGAGTCCAGTTTTTAAATTAGTACTGGGTTGGTGTAAAACATGCAGTGAATCGTGTTGACTCACTTCTAATAACCCGGTCATCGCAGCCTCACACGTCCCCATTTTCACGGCGCGCCCGTCAGTCACTAGAGGGTTGTAAGGTAGTGCAAAATCCCGCCACTACAAATACTCGCTCGCTATTTACTGTCAATATTTGAAGTAGTATTCACTTACCTTTCTTATATTATAGTTTCGCTACTCCTAATCTCATAATACCGCATCATTTGTTCACTGCAACGGCTTTTACAAAAGCACCAGTCTGGTGACCCAACGCGCTAACTTAGTGTCGCTGCTGCTTTACCAGCCGACGACACCTAAATGTCACCGAATGGCAGCATCAATTGATGTGAATGTGGGCGCGTACACCATCATAAAATCAATACTACCAACATTGCTGTAACGCAGTCACTTTTCACTATGCCCTCCTGTGAACAAAAGTGCATCAACGGAGGTCTAAGCATTTGAGAGGCATCGGCAACCAGTCCTTGAAAAAGGGTACAGAGTCTTTTGATAAACCAAAAGCACATAGTAGCATTACAATATGACTTAAAAACATAACTTAAACAATTTTTGTTTACGCAGAACGGACATTCAGTAATGACTTAGTGTGTCATTGTACCGCTAGTCCTCTATTCTTGACTCATCAGAAGGCAACTGAAAGGAATACTGGCGGGGATGAAAATGTCAAGTATGGAGGCATTTAAGGTGAAGCTGACTGGGAAACAGACAATCATTTCAGAAACCCAAAAATTGCATAAAGTAATTTCTTCCTAAAAATTTTAAGGGATCCAAAAAAAATTAGCACGCATTTGTTTTCAAGGCGAAGCTTACGCTACGCTTGATAAAGTATTTACAAGTGGTGGGTTCGCAGGTTATGTCTAACATCTAGCTGTTATTTAAACCACGCATGTTCCTTAATATCAGCGAAAGGTAGGCATAATATAAATTGCGGGTGCATCCTGGACGCAAAATAATTTTGAATAATTAAGGACTAATTCTTAAAGGATTACAGTTTAGAATAATTGAATAAAATCTTTAAAAACAGAGCTCTTTCAGTATTTTTTTCTAAATATAAAATTGTACAGTTATTTTCAATTTATCTGTCTTCAAATTCCGACTTCCCTTTGGTCGTCCAATTTAACTTCACGAAAAGTGTACCAAAGAGTGTATTCATGGCATGATGACCAACTCGAGAAGGTAACTAAGTTTGGAAAAGATGTGTAATAATCAAATCTGCGCGAGTGTTGCGTTCCTCGTAAAGGTTAATTTGACTACGGCATGCAAACAGCCACAAGCACACTGCGATGTACGAATTTCCCAAGGCGAATGCATGTTTTATTCGCTCCCTTAGTTCGATCCTTAAACACCCTTAGGTTTCTAAAGAAAGGCAATCTGCTACTTTAGACGTCCACGCAAAATATTGACCAGAACTTTACAGTAGTTTTCACTCAAACAATGCTAAATATGTCGTAGAAATGTAGTCTTTAACGTGTCTAATTCTCCAGATTCACCAGCACCTAATTGTGTCCTTACTGATGGGACTTTACATGTCGGAGCATATTTTTTTCCCTTGGCATTGGTTTTTCTACACCCATGTAATGCCGCAAGATGTCTTGATAGAGCTACGGTGTCAAAACCAGAATGAAAGAAATGTAGGCTGTCACGTACATGCGCTTCTTCTATTTCATCTGGTGCCATTTCGCCAATGCAGAAGAGTGTTCAGACAAATAAATGAATTGGATCACAGCTAGAACCGATTTAGGATAGTTTATCCAAAGCACACAGTAAAAAGCGATTCTCTGTGTGACCTGACTCTACGACGATGTCCAGTTGTTGAAGCAATATTTTAAATTGAGATTTGGTATCGAATTGCTGTCACTGAAGCACGTTTTTAAGGCTGTTGTTTAAGCTTCTACTACCTTACCAATTTACCTCAATTTAGCGAAGTCTGAGTCAAATAAATTAAAACTATTGACTTTTGCAAGTTTACGTGTGACTAGGAAAGGGTGTCAGCACAACACAAGACTTGAACAATATAATTTTAAACGCACACAAAATGTTGAGCTTGTATTCCGCAACCACAGGTTTTTTGATGGCATCCTGATTAACGACACATCGATATTCCGTTTGTGAATTCGAACGGAAAGTCTTTGAAACACTGAGTGTGCTATCGACCAGCATTCCACCATATTCCCCAGGAGTCTAAAAGGAATAAAATGAATTCCTAAGAAGTATCAGTAAAAACAGATTTTTCGCCGTAAATATATTACGTAATTCGCATTTTGTCGTCCATGGCTGAACTGAGTGCACAGGTTCACAAAATGCACACAATGAATTCACGATTAGAGATTTTGCGTTTTGTGTTTTGCAAATTCTAGATTCAATCTGTTTCATTAAAGTGTTCTCCAACAGGAAAGCACACTCAATAGTTATCAGGAAATCTTAGCGAAACAGAATGCACGTAGAGTTTAAGTCCTATTCTCTAATTTGATTAGACATTTTTGCCACGATAGAATTTTATGTTAATTTTTTAGGCATTAACAAGTTTGACCCATGCATATCACATACGTGTACCGAGCTTATCTAAATAGGAAAAATGGGAAAATTAGTTCTTTTAAAACTAAAGTTGACAAGAAGATTGATCTCTAAAGGAAGATAAGATATTAGAACCCATGCATAACACCTTTTTATTAATGATTTAGAGTAGATAATCCTTCATTACAAGCCACTGTCTGCTTCTGAATCTAACGGAGTGTAGAAAACCATACTCAAAGCTGTCCGAAAACTTTGCTCCATTCGCTTTAGGACAAAAAGGATGCAGCCTACTGAACATTGTACAAAATATACGGTGGAAACCGCAAACCCCTGGTACGTTTTTGATTCATGGCTATTAACATTTCATTCCGATAAAAGGCGAAATACTTGAGCATAATCAAAAGGTTTTGAGAAAAAATTAACTGATTTGCTGTACATTAATTGCAAATAAAGGCAAAACTAGCGCTACGCGGATGCCAATAAAATTCTTTGAAAAATAGAATAAAATTAGGACGAAGGCATTTTGCTTCCCACAAAATACACAGCCACGGTTAAATTTGTTTTTACTAGTCACCGAGGTAAAATTTAAGATTTTAAGTTTACAAGGTCCTGACACTTCACTAGGACGAGAAGTTCTAAATGAAAGATGAAGCAAGAGGAGAATTTACCAGATCAATTTGGGCCAGATCTGTTATTTCTCGCCCCGAATCCGATTCACCACCTGCTCCCGGTGGAAATTCGAACCAACGCACCATAGCTGGGGGATTGGAGACGGCTACGGCGCAGGTGAGGGAGATCGCGTCTCCCTCAGATACACCTCCACTGACGCTGGGGTGAATCTGCACGCTGTTTGGCGCGACTAAAACAATGGCACAGTTGAAATTACATGTGGCTGCCACTTAATCACAAAAATCACTTTAATTTGCAAATCTCAAAGACAACCAATATTGTTTAAAATACTCAACGTGCTTTACCATATATTACAATAGGTTTGTAATTGGACAAACTTGAGATACACTTGCTTCAAAGCGTTAAGGTTCATTTAAGATTTGAAAACATTTGTTTTAATATAAAAAAATAAGCATTGAATCGCAATTTTATGAAAAAACATGACTATTGATAAAAATAGTAAAAAGATGACACACAATACAAAATACAAAATAATTTCCACATTGGATAGGCACTATATATGTAGGGGTGATTTTAGTGCTGAGGACATAATTCAATTGGGGAACTTTCACTTTTTCTACACATTTTTGTGTAAGAACTAGGCAGTATTTCACTTTATACTAATGGCAAGTATACAATTTTTCTTTTATTACAATTAAAACGCAATTCCCATCGCCCAATGTTTTGTGATTGATTTTTAAAAACGTAGACGAAGGCAACATTTATTATCCTTCAAAAAACGATGATTTTTTGGAGCCTAATTTTAAAATCAAGGCTAGTATAAAAAGTTTTCATAAATATCATCTATTGATCCGAACGCTCTAACAATCAACAATTAAAATTGGATTTTTTTGAAAATCTACCGACTTAGAGAAAGTTGATCACCATTTTTACTACCTGTTAGAAAAATACATACAAAATTAATGGTTTCTCGACAGTGGATAAATGTTTAAAGATAATTGAATGTTTGTCTTGTTGATAAATATTAACTTAGGAAACATTCAGGTGCAGTGGATACTACATTGGCAAACAAGATACCTTGAAATATGAATAATTTGAAGGTGTGTGCAAACCAAAAATAACTAAAAACCACAACGTTTAGTTCCAATTTTGTAACATCTTTTGTTGCTGCTATTTCTGCGAATTATACTGGGCATTTTGAATGTGTAATCATTTAAAATCCAAATATTTACCGCCAGTAGTCTATTAAATAGTGAAGTTAAAACAAAGTTAACACATAGATCATTTTTTAAACCACATTCATTGCATCACATCCGCTATTTTAACAATTTTTAACAAATGGTTTGTTCACCATTTTTTTCATCGAATAAATCCTAATTACATGAGAAACCCAAGTAGTGAGTCACTATCCATAGCATAAATTATCTGTTTTATTAAACGCATGCTCTCAGCTCTTTTACCAAATACTTCTGTAAATGCCACAGGCCTGTCTCAGGCCCTCACGAGACTGGTTCACATTGTTCTTCGAGCCCTTATAATTAAGCTATTCCACAAAACAAAACAAAGAATACCTACTACCATGTGTGCAACTAGTTGTTGAATGTCAAAAATCAATTAAAATACTGTCGATGAAATGTTACCGCACACTAGCTCATCGTGAATGACCATTTTTTTCATTTCACTAAGCTAAGACAAGTAGATTAGGGAAAATAAAAATGTCCATGACAAAGTAAACCTCTATTAATGTACCTAAAAACCAAACCAATATACAACAGAATAATTAAACAATAACGTGGTAGTGGTAGATACACACATATTCAGACAGGCATCATGCTTACTAACTGTGGCGGTAGTAGTTTGCACAGGAGTATTGTAAGTAGTCAAATTTTATTACATTTTTTTTAAATATACCATGCCGCTATCCAATGGAATAACCTTCTTTTGTTCGAGCGCACACCAGGACCTGATTTTCTGTTGACGCCCTCAGTACAAAATATTCAAATCAATATTGTGTTAATTATATCAAATATCCGTTTGATTTTGAAGCCCTGTTATTAACTAAGTGATTTGATAAAGTTAAACAATCTTGTATCATTTAAAAACACACTAAAATGGTTAGAAATTTAGTTATTAAAAAGAAGGCCATTTCATCAGGAGTCCAAATTCAAACTAATCAACGGCCGTCTATCAGAACCCAATCAATTTGTTTAGTAACTCTTCCTGTTCAGCAGACATCCATTAATTGAGAAATCATCAGTTTATATCAACCCTTATAATTCATTTCCTGATTTTGTTAATTTTTATAATGAAGCTCTTTAAATATTGTCGAAAACTTTTAAGTTATAATTACATGGCCTTTAAAAAATTAGGCCGTGACGAATATTCTGGTTAATAAGTAGTGGCCTAATGATATGGTTTTACATTACAACATGTCTATTAAAACTGAAGTATGTACATAATTGAGGCAACAAAATTTATTTAAAAAAAAGCGAATCAAATTGTTCCATGGGCAACAATAAGTATTAATCGTAATGCTTAATAATATTACAGAAACGCTTGTTATTTTGCAGCAAAAGCATTTTCCTTTTGGATCAACTTGAAAATGAATTAGCAGTCTCTGTGTAACACTTCTTTGCTCTTTTCAAGGTTCAGCTGATCACTAATAGATTAAAAGACCATGATATAGCGGGCTCTAACCACCTACAAACAACACACGTCAATGTCGAGGCGTACTCAGATGTGTAACATTTGCATTTTACCCAACAGAATCTACTCAGCAGAGGTAACATTTATTTGCTTAATTTTGGTCTGGATAGTTGCAATGATATTTTAAAATACGAGTTTTGTTGCCTTAACGCGCGTCAACACAAGCGCCCAGTGCACTTGCCCACACCATATATCAACATCAGACACACATCGAACGATATAAATAGTGAAGACGCACTTTTAGTCAAGTTTTATGTATTGTAGTTTGTTGAAGGATATTCATTTGAATTGGTTATTTAAATGATAGTTTGGGTATTTTAAAAAATACCAGTAATTGTTGCTTAATGGAGTGAAATATATACGGACAAAACAATGTCCTCCGTTCGTTTTTGATGAAGGGAAGGAGACTCGCCTTATCAAAATCACCTTTGAAATAGTTTATTTAGGAGTGCACTTTCAGACTGGAGAGTAATGTGCTTTAGTTGATTCAGACACACAGATGAAACCACACCAAAATATACAAAATGCAGTGAATATTTGATTATAATTTCATGGAGTTATGTGAATATCTCTGTAACTACGAGAAAGCTAGGTATTCATTTGGGGAATCATGGGCATAACTCCCAAACCGCACTATGGATTCTGTGTTGAATACTCTGTTTTCTCGAAAAACAGTTGCAGCCAATTCGAACACGATGGGTTTGAGAAACATGAAATCCCTACTTTAGAACTAATAGGAATGTGTATAATATCTGATGTTCAGTCAGAGGTTGAAACACACAAACAATAAATTGCACTTACAAATGACGTCGAGCGTTTCACTCTTTCGAAGAAGCGTTATTTGTCCTGGTTTCTCAATGCTGCACTCAATGCGATGTCCATTGAGTCGACGGTGAGCACGAATAGTCAGGTTTGAATGACTCACAATGCCACCGCCAGTGCCCTTGCGGTGACCAGATGAGATTTGCATGTCTTCCTCCAGTTTCTCGGGAGCACCTAGAGGACTCAGATGTCGCCACGTTATGTTCACAGCTGGATTCGCGCCACCTTCATCCGTCTGACAGGTGATCACTTTACTCATGTCCTCTCGCATCCGACCGCCTGGAAGCGATTTAATTGATAGTGACCGCGGATCAACTAGAAAGAAAAGTCAGGAAATTGATACCGCCAGAATATTGTGCGTCTTCGAGACTAAAACAGATTTAGCGGCTAAAATAAACTGAATTAAGTAATGGTGCATAGGTGCTTGATGTTTCACCAATTGACATTTATTCAACATGGATTTTGTTATATGAATGGTACTAAAAATTCAGTTCACAACGCAGTGCATATTTGACTGACTTAAATCTATCAATATCGAAATGTGCCAACAAAGTGAGATTGCATCTACGCACACAAGATTCATCTTACAAAATTTCTATGCAAATATACTAAAACTGATTTCAATTACTTTACTTCCTCAATTGCTTATTTAGGCTTTTGTTCATGGTAGTCCAGAATTCTGCTCAAGTCACTTTAAAGAACTTGCCGCGCTCTGGTAGGTATTGAATGGGTTTAACTCGGATGTGCACACTTACAATCGTGAACCATCCTAAAAATCAGACAATCCAAAACCTTAGAACAAGCGCATGCTAATTCTGTACAAAACGACAAATTTTTGGTCTTTTAGAATTCAGATTACGCATCCAATGAACATCTGACATCCCATTGGTGCTTTTGCCAATTCTCGTTATTTTGTCATCAATTGGAATTTAAATATTTGGCAACTATGAGTAAGTTAAAATAGATTACTTAGTAAAAAAACCGTAACTAAATAATTCGCTTTTGATTAAAAATTACACAACTCTTCTGAAACAAGCATATACAAATCCTTATGGAAAGAGTGTAAGAATTTTTGAATTTTGCCAAAAAATTAGTGTTGTGTATAATAGGATAGAAGCAACCCGAATAGATGCTTTGCAAAGAAGGGCAGTTAACGGCAAATCGGTGGCTTAAATAGATTCGGTGCTTAGTGGTCAAACTCTCAATTGACATTTCCTATACCAGCCATGACAATATACAGATACTAACAGCGACAACAAAGGAAATGTATTTAAAAAAAATCAAAATACTCAGGCAGTAAACGAAACCGCGTGACTCAACACCAACATGCACATAGTTCGTTCGACGACTGTGTTTACTTCAATCAATCCAATTAGATTCGCTTCAGACAATTCAAACCTAGAGATGCTACAACGCAGGGCAATTTTGACGCACAACACAACTGGTCAACTGGCATAGTGACTACGATGCATTTTTAGTCCGTGGGAAATGAATGGTGCCAACAACGACTGATTAAAGTGCTGAATCGTAGACATATGATGCGAACAGACAGTGAAAAACGGTGTCCACACCAAGTGCTCTTTACTTTTTTCAGATTAAACATGTTCATACAGAGCCATTACTAACACCCATGCTCGCAAGATTCAGCTTCTATGACAGATGGGTACACATTTTTTAGGTCAGACTGGTTTGTTAAAAAAATCCAACACTAACGCTTACTGGAACAATCTAACTTCCAATTTTGCTACAGGTCTTGCCACAGTAATTCGCCGAAGGCTATTGTTAACCACTAATTTGCAATGTCGATGCCGCTTAGCTATGTGCTTGCATTAAAAAAAGGATTGTTGATCCCACAGACACACCAGCGACCGTCAATTTATGCCTTGTTAGAAAATATTTTCACCATCGAGAGACGCGCCCACCTACCACATGGGCGGTAGCTGCAGTAATTGGCACAACGACAAAGGAATCAGTACGTCTCGTTCACTAAGACATCATCTGGGAGCACAGTGCGAAATTCTGCAAACAAGATCCTCGGTTGCGTGTGCCAAGGTGCTAACCATCGAAAGCGCTTCAATCAAGTCTGTGCAGACGAGATTACGAAGGAAATAAATTAACAGGGAGAACTAAAAAATGAAACCAATGACTGAACACTCCGGAACAGGATCAGTCATCTACTCAATTCCACTG